TCAAAAACAAAAAGCAAAACAAAATATGTTTAAGAGGAAATCTACCCAGTGAAATTTGTACATGATGAGCCTTCATTCTTTAGTTTTCTACTAAAGCATTTATCAAATTCAAGCTCTTGAAATTTCAAGAATATGTGTCTGCAAGCATCACTGGGAAGAAGCCCAACTATATTCACTGGAGTCCTGTGCCTCTATTTGGTTATAAGGTGACTGTCCACAGAGGGGCAGTAAAGTGTAATGGTTTAAAATTCAGGTCTTAACTGTAATCCCACTGCCAATTTTTTTATTTCTTAAAATATAAAAGTGATACAAAAATTTTAAAATTGTATAAATTGTGGACTTCCTGAAGGATTTGAAAAATTAGGCAAGCTATATTACTCAGTTAATAATTGACACAAAGGCTCTGGTTTGCCATGTTCTATATTGTGGATAGGAAATACCATTTTGCCATACAGGATTTTTTTCTTTAATATAAGCATACTTATCAGTCTTTTGTGGCTTCTGAGTTTCGTATCATACTTAAAAAGATGTTCCTTATTATAAAGTAATTTTAAATGTCCCATATTTTCTTCTAGTACTTTTATTATTTTATTGTTCGGATTTAATTTTTTGATCCATCTGGAATTTATTTTGGTATGATGTATAAAGCATGATTCCAATTTTATTTTTTCTTCCAGATGGTTACCTAGTTGTTCTAACACTATCTACTGAATTCATCATTTCCCCACTGATTTGAAATGCTACCTTCATGATATTCAGAATTTTTGTATGATATGAAAGACTAATTTTTTTTTGGTCCCGATTTGAGTGGAAGGTCCTCATGTGCACTTTTTAAAGTGCACTCTGTCCCAGAGTTCGTTGTTTTAAATATTTTAAAAGTTGTCTATTGATATGATACTCAAACAGGACTTTTCTCCTCCCTTCATGAATTTGTCATTACCCGGCTCATTTTAGTTTCTTTAAGTGTACTGCACACAACCTTCAAATATTATGAACATTTCTCTCTCCCAGCTGTCACTACACCAAACTACATATGTTAGATTTCCCTAAATCATCTCGCTGTGCTCTTTGCAGCTCTTCTGTAGACTGTTGATATCTTCACCTAACAAGTTGTTCAAAAGTTCCCATAATTACTTAGGTGAGGCCTCAGAGTGAAACCATCCAGTTCCTTCCCTAAATGGGCATTCATTTCCACATAACGAGGATGGCTATGTTTGGGGCAAAATAACAGATTTGGAAGCACAATGGCGGTTACTTGTTGGCTCTTGAACCAATCCACCTGGTGGTGGGGGGGGGGCGCGTCCTACACAAATGTCAACTGCTATTGTGGGAATGTTTTGCTATTTTTTCCAGCAAAATGATTCAGCCAGGAAAAAAAAAGGCCGGGGGGGGTCGCCCTGTACTAGGTCTTGAACCCAAAGAACTGTTTGCACAGAGATTCATCCAAGATACATCACAGCCTCCACCTTAGCAGCTGCTCTCTGAAATGTTTCCCGACTCTCAAGTCAGTCTCCGCGTGAGGGGAGGAGGAGGACGCTGCCAGCAATGGCGCTGCTGGCACGAAGGCTGGCCTGCAACTTCTATTTAAAAGCTGAACCAAAATATGCTTGGCGTCTGCAGTCTATTTAAAACTTCAAGTGAAGACAGAGAAAAATTACCCTCCATCCTGAATGGGCCTTGGGTGTCTCAATCACAGGCAAGAGTGGCAAACGGTGAGAGTCACAGAGCGGGAAATGAGGAGCGCTGAGGGAGCAGGGCCAAACTGCCGCCAGGCACGAAAACAAGCCCGGGGACGGGCGTGGTGGCTCACGCCTGTAATCCCGGCACTCTGGGAGGCCCGGGGGGCGGATCACCGGAGGTCGGGAATTCGAGACCAGCCTGGCCACGTCTGTACTAAAAAGACAAAATTAGCCAGGCGGGGTGGCGGGTGCCTGTAGTCCCAGCTACTCGGGAGGCTGAAGCAGGAGAATCGCTTGAACCCGGGAGGCGGAGGTCGCGGTGAGCCAAGTTCGCGCCATTGCACTCCAGCCTGGGCAACAAGAGTGAAACTGTGTCTCATAAAAAGGACCTCGGATTCGAACTCCTAACCCGAAGCTCCATCTGCAACCCCTCGAGACCCTGACTCTCCGCACTCGTCAGCCACCTCTGCCCCGCGCCCCTCCCCGGCTTCAAGGCTTCCTCCTCAGAGCCCTCGCCTCAGAGTCCTCTCCCTAATTTTAGCGAAGTGCTCACCTCGAGAGACGCCCCAGCTCAACAGTCTCCTCCCTTCAAGGTCCCTCTCCTCAGCGCGCTTCCTCCACAGCGCCCCTCCCTCACTCCCTCACCCCAGCGCGCCACCCAGAGAAGGCTCCTCCTCGTTTCACTCCCCTCAGTCCTCGCCCCGCCCCCTCACCCTGCGCCCTGCCCCGGCTCCCTCCTCGCTACGCCCCCTCCAGGCCACGCCCTCGGGTTCTTCCAACTGTTGGCCCGTTCGCCCCTCTGCCCCTCGGTCTTAGCCCCGCCTCCATTGCTTTCCGCCCCGCCCACTGTGGGCACGCCCGCACCACCCTCGCCCCTCCTCCTCACCTGCGCCCCGCCCTGGCCCCGCCCAGCCCCTCGGTCCTCGCCCCGCCCTCTTCAGTTGGCGCCAAACCCTGTGGTCAACGGCTCGCCGGTCTCCAGGCTCCGCGTTCTGTGTCCGAGTTAGAATCCTGTCAGCTGAGGACTCTCGGGAAAGGCTTCACCTTGAAAATCTCTGGGAGACTGGGTACGAGGGGGGTAAATGGCAAAACCGGACAGCGTGCGAAGACTCTGAAGGGACGCTCGTTTTGAAATGGCGCGCTTCCCTTTCTCGCTCCTTTTTTAGGGCCCTAGTGACTTGGAGCTTTCCGCTCCGACCCCTGGGGAGGAATTTTAGTGACCTTGAGGGATTTCCAACCTCCGTATTTTAAATCGAATCGGACCTAAGTCCAGGAGGACCCGCCTCGTCCTCCTGACGAGGGAATCCCGTATCAGGAACATGTCCGGCGGCCGCACGGGGGTCTGCCCAGACCTCCTGCGGAGGGAGGCGTCGAGGGCGATCCGACCGCGCTGCCCCCTCCAGAGGTAGCCTTAAACCCGGGGACGGGGCAGCCCTCCCTTAAATCCAACCGTTCAGTCCATCGACGGCTCCTTGAGAGATGGAGACAATCTTTTCACTTCATCACGGGGAGAAGAAGTGGATGATATGCTTTTCTCTTCGATGGGGACAGTAAATGTGGAACTGGGGTGCTCATACATATAGCTAGCCATCCGAAGGACAGAATCCCAGAAGATCCCGTCCAAACGGTCTCGGTTGCCTTCCATCCTTTGCTGTTTGCGGTGCTCGGTGGTCGGACCCTGCTTCTGCCTTAGTATTAATAGTCCGTGGCTGGGCGCGATGGCTCACGCCTGTAATCCCAGCACTTAGAGGCCCAGGCGGGCAGAGCACGAGGTCAGGAGATCGAGAACATCCTGGCCAACATGGTGAAACCCCGTCTCTGCTAAAATACAAAAAATCAGCTGGGCGTGGTGGCGCTAGCCTGTAGTCCCAGCTAGTCGGGACTGAGGCAGGAGAATCGCCAGAACCCAGGAGGCGGAGGTTGCGGTGAGCTGAGATCACTCCATTGTACTCCAGGCTAGGCGACAGAGCTAGACTCCGTCTCAAAAAAAAAAGAAAAGAAAAGAATTGCAAAACACTATTTAGTGTTCAATAACTATTTGTCGAATATTTGCTGT